TACGTCCCAAAACATGCCTGGTGAGCGTGTTCATATCTTATCAGGTTCAATGCGACGACCCCGGAATTGAGCGCACGAAAGAACATCTATACTTCATCGCCTTGCGATTGAACCTTACCTTCCTAGCGTACTAGGCAGTCGACATGGATCATGCGTGATAAGAGGGTTCAGTCATTGCTTGCGAAAAGGCAACTACACTACGGCAATCTACAGAGGCGCGATGCGAACTGAACAAGTTAAAAATGCGTTTTAAATATACGGCCGCAAGGAATAACTTATCGAGCGCTTCGCTCGCTCAATACTTGTATTCTTTTCTCTGGGCTGGAGGGCACTTTGAATACCTGAGTTCATGGCACTTTCTACATAAAGTCTTCGAGTAGGGAGGTTCGACGTCGCACTGAAGAAGAGGATTCGAACGTTAGTGATAGAATCAAAAAAAAATTTGGACGACGAACTCTGATGCGGTGTTCTTGACAATAGCCACAAGGGTTAGGATTACGTGGTCGATTGGCTGTCGTTGTCTGTGGAAGAGGAGGAGGGGGAAGCGTGCCAGCACGAATGGGCGGGGGAGGACGTTCGGGAAACGCTGCCGGATGCGACGAAGACGATTGGACTCCGGAAGCGTTCCAAGAGGCACTGGCGCTGCTGTATCCGTTTGGAATTTTAGAGGATAAGGATACAGCACCCGACTGCGAAGGATACAATGATTGCGTCGATGAGATAGGGGGTGGTTGTGGAGGGACGTGCGATGAAGAAGACGTGTGGTAACCTTCGGCGGTAGGTCGATATTGTCGAGACCCTTCGTAAGACCCTTCGACGATATCGTTGGCTCTCCGGTTCGACGAATTCGTTGTCGAGTGCTGATGCGAGCCTGGGGGATGCGGAGAAACGTCGTGGCGAGGTTTGTTTCGATCCCTATCACTTGAAATCGAACTCGTTGGCATGCTTGTGGATGGCACCGACATCCCTGGTGCACTGTTAGTTCCGGACGGTATCGTGGAATGTAATTTGGGCGCGGCAGAGTTTGGAGAAAAACACATCCAACATTTCCAGCTCGCGGGGTTGTTAGCGTGAATGTGGCAACATGTCATGTGGAAAGTTTGGACACAGGTGATGCATTGGATTAGGCGTCCGTCCACGTAAGGGAGTCCACAATTGCAGACCATGGTCGCGGACGCTGATGATGTAGCAGGTGCAGACAAAGTTGAAGGCACAGGAGCACTCGAGGAAACGGGCCTGATTCCCTGAGAAGGGTTGCTGCTGTAGGAAGGGAGCGCAAGTGGGTCGTAAGGCACGGACGTAGGGATTTGCGACTGCGACGCATGCTGCTGCACGACGGGCATTGTGGCAGAACGATTTCGGTGCCTTGACCCATCCGAGTCGCGCTGGTCAAGCTGCATTGCGCTGTAGCTTTCAGACCGTATGGGTGCGGATAAGGGGTAATTCTGAATGCCGTGAGGATCGCTGGCCACACTGTCGTTACGGCCGTGTGCGTTAGTACCTGGCGGATAGCCGGCCAAAACATGTGAATCGTCCATCCCAAGGTGCCTTCCGGAAGAGCCACCTCCATGCGAGCTCGAGTAGAGGTTTGTTGGTTGTTGAGAATGAGTCATGGAAGAAATCGTATTTGGCTGGCGCCCTCGCTGGTCGTCGGGGTATTGATCTGAATTTGTTATTTTTATTAATAATGTCTTCTTAGTCGTCTGAATGAAGAACCCACTTTGGAATTGATTGCTTGCGTGTCGCATCGTGTTAGATGCAGAATATGACGTTGGATCATGGCCCATCCCATGCATGTCCATAGAGGATTGGCCCGACGGAATTCTATTCATCGCGTGGGCTACACCCCGCCAACACAAACAAAGGTGCATTTGAATAATTATCCCGGCACTTAGTGGTGCAAGACATACCTTGAGGAATACCGCCCGACATTGGATAGGTGTAAGCATCAGAATGTCGACTACCTGACGGCAAGGTTGGTCTGGAATGGTCACCCGACGATTGAATACCAGTTGGTTGGAATCCATCAGGGAATCGTCGCCCAGCAGCCGTCGGGGGGTTGGGTCGACCGAAGTTAGCCTAGAGATCGAGCGCCATTCAAGTTAAACAAACGTAAGGAGGACGTCAAGCAGTAATGTTGCAGAGCCGAAGCGTACCAAGCCTTGCTGATCGCCTTGCCTCGGCGAAAATAACCTACTGGGATCCTGATTGTCGTTGTAGTTCATTTCGGCTGGAGAAGCTCGACGTATCCTCCGAAGTTCGTACCGAAGAGTCGAAGGGCACGTTTCGTCGAAAGCAGATGGTAAAGAGCTCGACACGGCACTCGGCGAATTTCAACGACGAATGCAGTATGAGATGCTTGAAGTGGGTGGCAAAGCGAAAGGAACGGTGGGACCGATCTGCTAAAGTGGTTTTTAAGTAATGCACCGGTGGAGCAGCGCCGAGAACCAGATCGTTCGTATATTGCACGATAGGGGTAAGACTCGCGCGAACAGCGTGTGTTGTCGGCTGATGTCGAAGCTAGATATAGAATCACCAGACTGAGGATGTCGACGAACCTGCTTACCAGCGCGGGATGATATACATAGACCAATGGCGAATGAGATACATGTCTGAACCGGTGGTATGCTAAGGGTCATGAGTGTCCTGTAAGCAAAGTTCAATAGATTAGCTCACCATATGCTCAGGTGACGATACGAGAGACGGCATTCAGCTCGAACACTCAGCCGCTGCAAGTCCATGTACAGTTGCGCAGGGCGTCGTTTCCTCATGTCAGCACCGAGGGCAGACGGATCGGAGATGAAATCCAAGTGCTCGTCCTCTCAGGCACACACGATTCCTTAGCGGGATTTCCTTTTATCGTCTATCTGAGGCCAAAATGCACTTCACCGAACGAAGCCTGAGCGTTCCGGCTGTATTTGAAACGTATGAGCATCAGTCAACCGATATCAAGAAAGAGACTTCGAATGATACACACTGCACTCACGGACCTTGCGACGGAGAATGAGTCGTATTCGCTTGCGGGACAGTATTGATCGTCGTATTCAGCAAAGGCGATGCGATGTACGCTCTAGTGTGAATCGTTTTGATGTGCGTAGAACGAAATAAGATGTCCAGGGAGAGCCTGGCTCCGTTCTCCAAAGCTCTTCGGTTCCTAAGTAATTATCAGACGCGGATGGGTAGATTGGAATAGAAGACTCTCACCCAGGTTTAATATGATAAATTCCGATGAGTCTATCATGTGGGGCAGGCCAGGTGCGATCTCCAAGAGAATCTTCGGAATGTCCTGATGATGAGAGAGCACGAAGTGTGGTTGACGCGGATATAATTGCGCAGCACACATGCTCATCAAAAACCCAAATACGAGGGTACTCGCATGTCGCGAACGCACGTAAGTCTGGCGTCGACCACAAAAGAGGCCGCCGAGGCGCTGCGAACTCGGTTTTGGCGTAGACCTCGCGATGGTAGATCCCTCGATAGTGATGTGAATATTGAGCTACAAATCTGTGCAGCTGCTTCTTAGCATTGTAAAAATTATTAGAACATACAAAAAGCTCACCAGAGCTCGATGTGATTGCTGGCTGGCCTATTTATTTCTTTGAGTCGCCGTGACAGCAATCTTTGTGAAAATTTGCGTTAGAGAGACGCTCCGAGATCGCGTTTAGGCCTGGCGGTGCCGTATCTGGACATTTTAGTCCTTTAAAGGACCAGAGAATTCGAGAAGCGGCCAAAATTGTGAACGAAAGGAAAGTGGAGGAAGTGGAAGGGATTAACCGACTCGTAGCGATACCATCTCGTTAAATATATATCGGCGTTCTTGTCCCTTGCGTTCCCAAACTGATAGGGTCGTAAGCCGAGGCGGTAACTTGCCGAATCGACGGTTCTTCTTCGTTGCAGAGAATGGCAAATCCCTATGCTGAATCGCCGTGGCAGAGATGAGGAAGCATTCGAAAGGCCAAAGTACGGTGATTCTGTCCGATTCGGACAACCGTCCTGTGCATCTGCGTCATTATGAAGAATCCCTGAGGTGAAAGGTTTTGACCGGTCCGCGTTTTTTTGAAGTTTCCTCTTTGAAGTAGCTGAATTGCGAAGCGAGACTAGAACTCAAGTGAGATATATATAAAAGACATCGTATTAGGAGTTTAGCCATGATCCATATCGAGATGAAGCGTTTGAGGATCTATGATGAAGCTTCAGAGGTCGTTCGTGCATAGGGGGGCGGGTGAAATCACGGTGATTCGTAATTGTAAAAGATTTAAGAGGAGACGGACCTCTTTGAAATTGTCCAAGACTGAAGAGGATGGCGGACTCACGGACGGGCACGTTTTCCTGAGTCTCTTGAGTTCAGTTTTTAGGTCACGTCCGAGGCCCTAACGAAGGAATTCTCAACGAGAACGGTGACCTACGGACTGAAGATAACAGCGATCGTGTCACCGCCAGTCCACTGGAACTTCAGTTCCGCTTCTTTCAGATACTCATATCAGCCTTAACGACTTTCAGAAGCAAAGAAATTAAAGTCACCAGCAGGGTATTGAAAACAGCCAGCCATGTATGACGCTTGTCGCGAGGGCACGTTGAGACGTGGACGATTTTTCGAACATGCGTTTCTGAGAGTCACGGTCAAACCGGGCCAAATTGGCTATGCCTACATTATGACGTATAAAGAAAGACGGGCCATTGTTGTTGTTGTTGTCGTTATGCCCATCAGTAAGAAGATTCGCTCGAGTTTGGGGCCACGTCGCTCAGAAAGACACTCGCAAGTTGACTTGGAAAAAGTGACCGATGCCCAGGGGATTCGAGAACGGGCCGATTGATATTGACGTCTCACGCGTGCCCAAGTTTTCGTAGTTTGAAGCTTGTGACAAGAGAAAACGGACAAGATGGTGGAGGGGCGCAAAGGAAGAATATATAAAGAGCCCGAGTTTGGACTACAAGAAAAATTTCCACACACAGCACAAATGTTTAGCTATCTAAATGTAAATAACATCAAGGCTGTCTAAGCTTCAATAACTCAGTTGGTAGAGTGCAGGTCTCATATGTTTGTATGATGCTTCTTACGTAAGCAAACCATCCTGAAGTCGCAAGTTCGAGCCTTGCTTGGAGCAATTTTTGCCGTTCAAAGTTGTTTAATTTCGAGGGGAAGCGCGTTTTTTGTCTCGAAAAACGACGGATGTTGCAATGTTACTTTTTATTTCGAACGAGGCCGCGTTTCTTACAAGTGGCGGTGTATGTCGCGTGGCGACGCAACTTGAAGATGGGACATTCAAGTTCATGAACGGTTTAGTTTTCATTTCATTTTGATGCATGTATGACGGGAGAGAAGGCTCGTTGTTTGTATTGGCGGCGAAGACACTGAGGGTAATACGTATCTTAGCTGGCTTCACCGCGACCTTGACAAGGCTTTGGCGGTAGGGACGATGCGTCCTGCCGCATCTTTCGGAAACTGTTGAGGGTGAACAGTCGTACAGGCTGATTACAAGTAAGCGTGAGGGCGAAAGATAATCGATACAGGAAGCCTGAGTTCTGTACAATGCAGGCTGGTAGTAGGAGTGCAGCAAAAAGAGAGATGGGGAGCGGAGTGGTTGCGCGAAGACTCTGCTGTCAGCCCGAGTCCTAGGAAGCAAAGAGGGTAGCGAGGATACGAGAGAATAATAAGAACGAGCGCGAGATAGAGAGACGCCGAAAAGAGATAAATCTGGCAGAGAGAAATAGCGATCGCGAGTGCATGAATACCACTGTAGTATGAGCAGAAGGAGACGTCATCTTGAGTGGTCGCAATATTATTGCAAAGTCAATGGGCCGTGTATGAGGTGTCTAACTTTAGTTACGAGGATTTTTCAGTTTAAGATCTTTGTTCCGCATCTGGTGTCCCTTCGAATCGACAAGATGTCTCATATAACGCACGAGTACTGCGACAGAAGACCAGAACCACGTCTGGTTTCGCGTCTCAGATAGGTGAAAGCCCACTGGCACAGCAGTCGCTATCCGAGCCGAGGGGCCGAAAGTCGCAAGTTCGAGCCTTGCTCGGCGCAGATCTTTCCGATTCACTTTTGGTTTGCCCAAGTGAAGAACGTGAAGTTTGAAATGATGTATAGTAACCCGTGCCCTTGGCTGGAAAACGAAATCTTCGGCGGAAACCAGTCGCACAGGAGTTCTTCATTTGAGCATTTGCATCGTTTATCTGACAAAGCGTTACAGTTACAAAGAGCGAGGACGAGTATTGACGATAAGCATGACAGAGTCGATTGCTGCAGATAACAATTTTTGGACATCGGCAGAGGGAGAGAGAGCGAAAGCTGACGGAGCATAAAAACCGAGTGCATGAGAGTTCGAGCGGTCGTAGACAGAAGTAGAGTTGCGAGAGTATGAGAACTATGATGGCGAGTGCAAGACACAGAGTTGCCAGCGATTGAAGAAAAGACGGACCATCGACCGAGGAAAGCCTGTCCGAAAGCGAAAATGAGCAGGAGCACCAAGAAAGTCAGAGCGGGTGATTTTGAGCTTGAGCGTCAAGTTGAAGCAGTGCGAAGTAAGTGCTCCGTCGTATCGTAAAGTTGACGAGTCGAAATTGGTTCAGTTGCTTGAAGTCGGGTGTACCACAGAGACGATCAAGAAAAGGAGAGACGTTCTGAGCTGAGTCTTCAAGAGAAGCCGCTTTTGTTGTCGTGACTTGAGTGGTTTATGACTCATCTTTGTCCTTCATTCGGTGATCTGTAAGCTCTAATCTTCGTTGAAAGAATTCAAATCCAACTCTGAGTTCCAGTCTGTCTCGACATCGGAGTCCGAATCCGTGCCCAACTCTACTGGCGTTTTCAGAATATGCATTTTTTTCATCAGAGAAATGCCGAACCTTTGGAATCTTCTGTGACAGTCTTAGTCTTTTTAGATTCGAGCTTTTCCTGGACCATCCGTTCTATCATGGTGTTGCCTTTTTCCAATATCTCCAATATCTCCTTGAGTTTATCGTTATGCCGAGTCATGGGATGGTTCTCGAAGTAGTCGAGGATAGATTTCGGAACTGCCTCTTCGACGGTCGAGGGTTCCTTACAACCAGAACCTCTGAATCAAGTGAGGTGAGACGAAACGACATGATTGATATAATACGAACCCTTCGTCATATTCAAATCTACGGTACCCATACGGACCATCTTGGTCGTAGCGATGTTCACGATAGGCTCTGTCACGCATTCGAACATTTTTTTCACTGAGAATGAGATCTCAATGAGATATGGAAAGTTACCTGTTGCCTGTAGAACCATGATGGTCCGATGAACCTTCGTACTTCTCGAAATCGCGACTGAGTCGGGATGCGCTGTGGAAGTAAGGCTCGTCTTCTCTGTGACAGTCAACGTCGAAGTTTCGCTGGTCGTAGCGTCTATGAAGTCGAACTAAGGGTTGTCAGTTCTTTATGAAATTAGAATGCACTTACCTTCCGTCGTAAGCAGAAGGTGGGCGTCGACGAGCTTGATCTTCCATTATATATGTGTCCCTCGCATAGCGATCCATCTAATAATAAGCATATACCGTCGTCTTCACTGGAAGTTCATGCATATATCTTACCTGATAACCATAGTCGTTTCGAATTGGAGGGTAAGGCGCTACGGCATGCCCACGCATCTGCCCTTGGTGTTGGATACGATCCCTTCTTCGTAAAGCTTGACGTGGTGCAAAAGCATCGTTTTTAGAAGAATTCTGCTCGAAGTTGAAATCGTTGTATGCGACGCCACTGCCCATAGAAACCTCTCCGCGACCATAGGTACTAAACGAGGCCCCAGTAGAAAGATGCGATGCACTATTTCGAACAGGAAGACGTAAGCATGAATATAGAGGACGAAGCGTCAGAAGCGATTGTTCACCGATAATCCAGATTGCCATTGGTACCAGGGTGCATGAAGTCGCTAGGGAAGTGTGAATATTCTTCAGCATGCATGTAGCGCCGAGAATACTGTGCTTTCGTCAGGGATTTAAAAATGAAATCTTCGAACTAGAAAGCCGCACCATATCGCATTCTCGGTGTTGACGGGGCCTTTCCGTTGATGCGAAGTGACGTGATGCATCCCTAGGAGAGTAATCCATAGGTTGTGTCTCCGAAAGTCGCATTGGCAGGGTTTCATCGCGGTTGAGATAAGCCATTTCGGTGGTGTTGGTGGTGGTGTTGTTGATGATGGTGGTTGGAAGGAAAAATTTAAAGGAGCAAGCAAGTCGCGTCCACGCGTTGTCGCGTGTCGTCGTTTATATAGTCGTCGCCGCGACGCAGCTCGACCCAACATGTCGTTGGCAGCCATGGATCTTCAAATCGACCCGAATTCACCTCAAGCTCTCGCTTTAGTGGCGTTTGCGGCGGGTTGCTTGTCGACGCTGACTCTTTCACGCATTCATCGACGGTACTTTCGACGATTTCCTTCCAGCGAGTGGGTCACTCCAGACGTGTTGAAGAAGAGAAGATGGATCAAGGGGGTCGTCACAAGGTGAGTGAATATATTCTTCATCGGACATCTGCACGCTCTGAACGATCTGTAGTGTTGGTGATGCGGACAACTTTCGCCTGTACCACACGCCAGGCTTTGGATGGCGTTGGCCTCTGAAGTTCAGACTCGTGCCGTCCAAGAATCGAGGTACGTACGTGGAGTATCGGTCGATGTCGTCGAGCATAAGATTAATCTGAGAAAGAATGGACTTGAAGATTTGAAGGATCAAACTCTTCACATTCGAATGGCTGGAGTGGACGCTCCTGAGGTCGGGTTTCTAGCACACTTGCCGCACACAGTCATTCACAACTCAGATATAGGCGGCACATTTCGGAAAACCCGCACAAGAGTATTCCGCTGAAGCACTCGCATGGCTCAAGGAGCAAATCGATGGCAAGACCGTATATTGCCAACTGGTCAGTCGCGACCAATACATGCGTATGGTACGTTGCTTGCCCGCGCCGCCTGCACGAGGACGTAACTAATATTGAGAAGGTCGCAATACCCATGCTACCGCCTCGGCTTCTTCCTTCGTTCTTGACCCCTCGGTATGGGCGATGTCTTTCTTTGGAAATGTTGAGAGATGGATGGGCAACGACGTATGAACAAGCCGGAGCTGTTTATGGACGGTGGGGAAAGGAGGCGTTTCTGAGCATCGAACAAGAAGCGAAGTGAGTGAATATGATGATATCTTGTCTTTGCAGTAATAACTGTTGCTTTGTCTAGGACCGCCCGACGAGGCCAGTGGATCAAGGGCGTTTCCGCTGAGTCTCCTGCGGAATACAAACGCCGGCATTCTCAATCTTCTAGATCCGTAGAAACGGACCTGGAGAAAGCGTCTGAGATACCACCTCGTCCACGAGGAGGTTGGTTGAGTCGCCTCTGGAGATCCTAATAGATCGATGGATTGTTCCTTATATCCCTGTATGTGAGTACATGTATCTCATGCTCGGTCAATTGCCAAGCCGCATGCTCACCTCTTGCATCAGGCAACGCGACCGTAACCTTCGTTGACTTTGATTCAGAACTCTGTGACTTTACTCTCCGTACCTTGAAATACCGCATCATCGATCCGAATCACCTTCACGTCGTTATGTTAGCGTTATGGCCGGAACCAGTGTAGAGAAAGTCTTCGCACCCGCAGCATCAGCGCCCCTCCGTGAGCTTTCGTTATGATTCATGCTGCGCACGCTGCATTGTCGACGATGAAGTGAGACGATACCTGCTCATTAACAATCCAGTTCGATTGGTATTTGTGAAGCTGAGTCTTTCAACCAAGCACTAATTCATGCGCAGTCACTGAGCCTTGGTGCGTTTCTTGATAATCTTCCTTTCGAATTTCAACTGAAGCCCATTATTCTTATCTTTACGTCTGAAGTGATTGTCCAATTCCACGTCAATTACACCCTTTGCAGTCGGTATAAATGTTTGTCCGTCTTATTGAATGCATCGAACGCGCGAATCTCACCACGTTCAGCGTTGATCACCGATCGACGCCGCAGCCGATGGGAAGTGTTGAGTACAAAACGGCACCGAACAGCCACCGAGAACATCGCCATTGCGGTTTTCACTATGCAAAGCTCTCATCTTACCTCACTTCTTGACAGCTGAGGCGCTCATAGAGGATAGGGGATATG